AGGATAGACATATACCTAATTGCCTTGCTTGGTTGATTTACAGCAATTATAAATGCGTTCTTGGTGATTCTAACTCCATAGACATATAAGCGTTAGGTTAGCTTGAATAGGCGATTAAGAACTCGACAGATTCTTATGAGCAATATTAACCCTGTCAACCAATAAGCTAGATAAATTAGTCGGTCAATTCAACTGAAGAATATAATAGGATTGTTAGATAGCCCATAACCCTAGATTGTTTTCATTACATTGATATCATAAAAATTTGCTCTTTCTCTGTTCAAAGTTCATTATTTATATTTTTTTATTTAATTAGTTTAGAATCAAATATTTTTAGGTTTAATTCTTATTTAGATAATTATGATAGTCTAATTTAGTTAATAGTTAATCACAAGTCCTCGTGGGTTCGACATCCGACTTTTAGTCACTTTATTACTTGACGACCGTGTATACTTGCGTGTGCGTTTGGCTGCAACAATAACCAAGTTCTTTTATTATTTCCAAAAGCTCAAGATATGACAAACAATTAGGATCTATATAATTTATGGAGTTATCCTTTAGCCTTCTTCCTGCATAGTTAAAATATGATGTAATGCAAAAACGCCTCCATAATAAATTTTCAAATGTGACATTATCAACTATAATTTCTGTTCAATAAAGATATTTTCAAAATAAGTAAAGTTTAATATTGCTTTAGTATAATAATTTTAATGTACAAAGAAAAAATAAATTAATTAATATTCATAGAAACAATTCTTTCATCTAATATATATGTCAGAGAATTGATTATTTCAGTGTATCTTTTTCCTTTTAAATTGAAATGCTCAGCATATTTCCTGAATTTTGTATGCAAGATTTTTTTTCTTTATTGCAAAAATTTTAACAATGGCCTCGATATAATATAAGAATATCTTAAATTTTACAAGCAAGAAAGACGAAATTCAAGTATTGGTTTGGATGAAAAATATTATACTTCACCTTTGAAAGGATAGAGAAAGAAAAAAAATATTTATTTTGAAAAAGAAATTCTCACCAAAAATATATTGCATAAGGGGGTTCCTTTTCCCATTCAAACTATGAGGGCTATTGCTTCCGAACCCTTAACGGTTAAGGGGGTAAAGTGGATTTTACTCATAAAATTACTCAATTGGAATGCATTTCTTTGAACTGTATTTCTTCTATTAGTCTCTGTAAGAGCATGTTTGGATTAGCTGATTATAAATAGCTGATAAGCTTGAAGTGCTGAAAAATATTTTTAAGTGCTGAAACTGATTTTTAAAATAAGCATTTACGTGTTTGGATAGACGTGCTGAAACTGGTAATAAGCAGTTGATATGTTTGGTAGAAAAGTGCTGATAAGCTATTCTCTTGTTAAAAAGACTAAAATACCCTTAAAGTTTTTACAAAAAATTATGAATTAAAAAGTTTCTTTGTAGAGAAAATGATAAACAACGAATATGGAATGAAGAGAAAATTAAAAAATTTATTTTGAAAAAAATATTTCGTAAATTAAAAAATATTATTAAGGATAAAATAGTAAAAGTCTTGGTCAAACTAAAAGTGCTTATAAGCTGAAAAGTAATAAGTTGGGGGTGACCAACTTATGGCTTATAACTGATTTTAACTTATAAGCAGTACTTTGGATGTTTACCAAACACGTAGAAAAGCCAAAACGTGCTTATAAGCTAGTTTGGCCAGCTTACAAGCTTAGCCAAACACCCTCTAGTTTCATTTGCGTAATAATAGGACAAATTATTAATGCGCTTTAATTTGTATCAATCAATTAAGAAGCTCACATGCTTTCTGGCGAGGATCAAGTTCAATTGCCTTGTCAAACTCCACCAAAGACCCTAACACGTCGCCCTTCATTACAGAACCAAAAATTTCTGATCCCTCAAATCAATTGAACTAGTAAAAAACAATCAGTAAACTGAAAGAGAAATCAAGAATAATTACCTGTCTGAAAAGTTGCATTCCCCTTCGAATTGCCATTACAGCATCACGAGCTGAGTTACCACTTGTTAATGCATCCCAGAGCCCAGAAACTGAGGGCAAGAATAGTCTTCTGGTCAAAGCTGGTAGTGGATTGTGATAAGTCTGAATTCTTGAAAAAGTGGCGCCCAAGAAAATATCACCATTCTGAAACTTGCTTGAGAATAGAGGTAAAGAACTTGAAGAAGGGCAGTACTTAAAGGGTTTAATGACTACAGAAACGGTGGGTTTGGGATGAAGGGTGTGGGTTAGTGCCATTATGGAAAGATGATAAGGTAACAACAGCTAAAGGCGTGGAGCCTCTGTTTCTTAGGACTGCTCACAGGGGAAGATGTTTTTCACAAAAAATACTCCATTTTTTATTTTTTTTTAAATCTCATTTCTGAATGATTTTTCAGTGTTTAACTGAATATAACAGTAGGTGACGAGGAAAAAAAAAGAATATAATCGTAGGTGACATTAGGGGTGTCGAAAGAAAACCATAAATCCCACCACATCGATAATCCGAATCAAATCGAGAAAAAAAAATTCGATGTGGTTTGAGATTGGAAAATAAAACCCGATCATAATTAGTTTGGTTTGGTTTTAACTAAAAAAAGTCAAACCGAAATCAAACCAACTGATAATACATTTATATAATTTTTAAAAATATTTTATACATATAAATATTTATTGTAATGTAATTTATAAATATTTCTTAAACTTTTTCACAGTTTTATCTTTTAACGTATTATTTCAAGTTTAGACTTAACATTCTTGAATGGTAAATAAATTTTAAAGCCCATAAATGTAGTAGCTCAAACAAAGTTCAAATCAATACTAATGCTAACAAAAGAAATTCAATTCAATTTAATACTAGGAATGACGATAATGTGAATGACGATAATGTTGGATAATTATTTTAGTTTTACATTGGTTTATAATGAAAATGCATAACTTAGTTTATCTTTTTCTTTAGTGCTTAGTTATGTAATTAATATTAATACTTATTAGCTATACTTATTTTAGCATGACCTATATAGTATTTTTAGATTATGTTAATTTTCACTATGGCTTATTAATTAGCAATATTTATTTTATGTAATTTTATTATTTTATCTTTGTTATTGAATATTTTAGTATAATGTTATGACTTATCTCATATTATTGTGTTAGTTTCTTGAAAAATACATTATATAGTTGTATTTTACTAGAATTTAAGAAATATTTGGAGTACAAGTTACATATTTTATGCTATGAAGACTTTACCGGAAAAAAACCCGAAAACCCCTAGAAAAATCGAGATTGAAAAACTCGACTTTGTTGGTTTGGTTTGGTTTATAAATTTAAAAATCCGACATAATTGGTTTGGTTTGATAATTGAAAAATTCGAACCAATTCGACCTATGTACACCCCTAGGTGACATACATCAATTTTACAATTGGGAAAGATAATGTACGAAAAATTCTATTTTTGTTATAAATAATATTTTATTTATGTGGAATGTCTATCTTTTAGAGACATTTTAGAATTTGTTATTTCGTGGGTAAAAGTAATTAGGGGTTCTATTCCATTGTAATTCATCCCAAATCAATAAAAAATTCTCTCTCTATTTTTCTCTGCAATACTCTTCTTCTTCTTTTATTGTTTTATAATACGTTATCAGCACGTGACTCTAACCAATTGAGTAGAGGGCGTTTGTTTTAATTTATAGATATACTATTAATTAGTTGTCTAATATTTGAGAAATTAAATCACTCGTGGAGAGAAGATATAGGAATTTATGTGAGGCTCAGGCTTTGAGATATGTGCATAGTGCCAACTTCTACATAAAATGGAGCATAATAATTGTCAATTTCTCCATGAACTTCCTTCAGGAATAAATTTAATGTAGGTATTTTATCTTATTTTTCTCTTTCAAATTCATAAAATTCTATAATTTAATTTTAAATACAAAGACAATAAATTTTGATTATAACTCTAAAAGAGTTTGAAAAATATTATAACAATCCGAAGTGGTAAATTTTCTATGTCTTGCCATGATCAAATTCATGTATGATCATGAGCACAAGCCGTCCCATTGAATTTGCTTCATTCTCGTTCTCTTAAGAGAATGTGGTAGCAATATGTGATAAGTCTGAAAGAAAATAAAATTATTACCGAGAAGGTACCAATGGATGTGGACGTGATAATAGACAAAATTATAATCATCATCATTGTGGCAATGAGAACAATAAGAATTCTCAAATAATCCTTCACTTGTGAAAGTAATGCTTGTCATCGATTTGACATTAGATTCTGTAAAGCACATATAGATAATTATGGTCCATTCATGATGTGAATGTAATAACATGTGATTTATGAATATATATTTATTCTTGAAAGAATATGAACGTGTCAGTGGTAGTGAATATACCACACCCACCTCTAGAAAGAGGTTTAAGAGGAAATAAGAAAATAATTTTATTATTATGACGTGAATAGTCATTGATCACGTACCTATTGTGATTATGCCAAAATATTATGGCAATATTATTATTACAGGGTAATAGTAATAGAAACAACATATCTTGCCTATAATGACTTTGACCATGACCATAACGGTAAAACGTTTTCCTTGGAAGAGATATTCACCTATGGATGTTGATGAATATGTTGTAGTACAAAATTAATTGAGAGCTCTCGAAGAGATTTTGGAGAAATAAAATTGATTATCAATAAGGTATTGTAGGGGTGGCATGTGGGCCGATCCAAACGGTCCCCGTCCGGTCCTTAACTAAATGGGCCAAATAGTCCCGGGCTAAATAGTTTTTTTCTAGGAACCGGCCCGGGACGCGGGCTAAATGGGCTAAGTAGGCCCAACGGCTAAAATATTAATTTTTTTAAAAAAAATTAGAATTGAAATTAGAGACAAAAAGATGTACAAAAAAATATTTAAGGCAATGCCTTGTAAATTTTATTATAGAATTATGACCTAAACTTTTTAATTTAAAATTTAAAGACAAAAATATTGTAAAGAGATATTCAAAGAAATGCCTTGCAATTTTATTATAGCATTAAAACAATATGGAAATATCTTTCTTAGTCTTCCTCCCCCCTATGGAATGAGCACAATAAGGTGTTAATACCACCATTGAGAAGAAAAAGAAACTAATCAAGATGTGCCAAAATACAAGTTACATAATTCATACTAATTTTTGTTCATACAAGTTACATGGTATCTCTTACAAACTTCATATATCCTTCAAGGTTCGGAGGAATTTCCGTTGGTGGTGGCGGAAAAGTAGCTTGGTCATCGCCGCTTCCATTATCGGGCGAAGCAGTATCCTCTGCAAATTCAGCTAGTAGTTCTTCGTAAGCTTCGTCTTCATCTGGTTGTGATTCAGCAAGTCCAAAATGTCTTCTTTCCGAATGGATCCAATCTCTGAAAAGTACTGATTTTTTCAAGCTCTCCCTCATAGACACTCTATAATCACCGAGTTGAAGTCTTGCTTGAATGAAAGCGCTCTCCGATGCCACTGTTGAAGCTTGAATAGTTAAAATGTCTCGGGCCATCTTTGAAAGAACCGGAAAGTATTTTCCTTTGTCTTCCACCATTGCAAAAGATTAAAGGAGCCGTCGGGATTCACTTCCTTAATTTGCTGCAACAAATAAACTTCAAGCTCATTTAGTTGTGAAAAATTATTGCTACTAGAATCTTGAGAACCCCTAAACCCCACCCAACCACTAAGTGCTCTTACTCCCACAGTTCTTTTAGATGTATCTTGAGAACCCCTAAACCCCACCCAACCACTAAGTGCTCTTACTCCCACAGTTCTTTTAGATGTATCTTGAGAACCCCTAAACCCCACCCAACCACTAAGTGCTCTTACTCCCGCAGTTCTTTTAGATGATTGAGAATCAGAAGAAGAAGAAGTTGGAACATTTGGTCTAGCATGATCTAATGCTACTTGATAAACATTATAAATAGTTTGAGCATTTATTCTAATTGAGGTTATTGCTTCCGGAAGTCCAGCCAACTCAGCATCTTCAAGTGCTAAACCATTATAAACAATTTCATACCAAAATTGAGGACCTCCTATGCAACAATCAAACTTTCATACATGTAATTCCATCTAGTTGGACAAGATTTAGGAACCTTTATTTCTCTTAGGCCAAATTCATCGCATCTTTTAAAATATTCTCTAAGTCTACTTCTACAATTTGAATAAAAAGCCAGTTAAGAGCCATTTTAACCTTTTTAATTTTAATATTTAAAATTCTCATACCATCACCCACAATTAAATGGTAAATATGACAAATACATCTAACATGAAAAATATTACTAAATGCAGGATTTAGCGTAGTGGTAAGCAAGTCTATAGCATTTGTGCTATTAGTAGCATTATCCATTGAAACCGATATTATTTTATCACTAATGCAAAAATATCTGCAAATATATGTAACTGTGCTAGCAATAAACTGTCATGTGTGACGTGAATTAATTATTCTATAAGCAATTATGCACTTTTGCATTATCCATTCCTCATCAATCCAATGACTGGTAACAGTAAGGTAATCACAGTCATTGCCACTTCTACCAATATCAGTTCTAATAGCAATACAATAATTTATATGAGTAAATAAATAGCGCAAATATTATTCATATTCATGCTTATATTTATAAATATCGCTCTTTACGGTTGTGCGAGAAAAACCTTTATAAGTAGGATTAAAAACATTTCTAATATAATGCACAAACGAAGGGTCAGAAGGAAAACTATAGGGTAATCACATAACAGTTACCATTTTTGCCAATTCTTCCCGATCTTTTTTTGGATTATAATATAAAATACCACCGAAAATAGTGTTAATTCCCGGTTGAAATTAATTTGAACCGGTACTAGAGTTACCCTGACTAGGACTAGGTATACTTCTCCCCTCGGACAAAGCTTTCAGACGTTCATATTTTATTTTATCTCTAGGGTATTTTTGTATGTGTCTAGCCAAAGTTTTCGCCCCCTCCCCCTCCCCCCTGCAATCCAGCAACATATTTAAAAGCTAACTCAGTACCACAAGTTTTATACTTAGCTTTATTTTGTGGAACTAGTTGTGTAAATAATGGCCAAACAAGAGATGTTTCCGTCCGTTTTGTAGGTTGTCTAGAAAAAGTAGGGATAGTAACAGGAGTATCAGATGGGTCATCATTTAGATTAGCAGGGTTATCACTAGTTGGGTTAACATCAGGAGCATGACTAGTGGGTGTATCATCATCCGGTTGAGTTTCATCAAGATCAATTTCCTCATCATCATTTTCATCAATAGTATTATAATTATTAGAATAAAGAGCATTCATTAATTTATGGTCTAACTGTTCACCGGGTGTAATATTATGGTAAAATTGA